ACCTTGAATATAAATCAAGGTCATTTATTTGAACAAACTTGGTAGCCCTTCATTTCAGCATGTTACTGGCCAACTATCATCACCCTAGGCCTCTTGGTTATTGAGAAGAAGTTGTTTAAAGGTTAAAAACATAATTGACCCCTGTGACCTTGAATATAAGTCAAGGTCATTTATTTGAACAAACTTGGTAGCTCTTCATCCCAGCATGTTACTGGCCAAATATCAACACCCTAGGCCTCTTGGTTATTCAGAAGAAGTTGCTTAAAGATTTTAATGTATTTGACCCCTGTGACCTTGAAAATAGATGAAGGTCATTTATTTGAACAAACTTGGAAGCCCTTCATCCCAGCATGCTTCTGGCAAAATATCATCACCGCAGGCCTTTTGGTTAATGAGAAGAAGTTGTTTAAAGAAAAAGTTGACAAGGACGGACGCCGGACGCCGGACGACAGACGCCGGACGGACGACGGACGCCGCACCATGCCATAAGCTCACTTGGCCCTTCGGGCCAGGTGAGCTAAAAACAAATAAAACCACCTTATTCAATATCTACCATACAGATTTAAGACTGAAAAGTATTTGAAACTAGCACCTCTGATTCTAAACAAAGAAAATGAAGAAATTTTAGCACACTAACTTCTTTGGGCCACACCCTACAGCCCCTGGGAGTAGGGCTGGCCCAAAATTTTCAAAGTATCAAACTGTCAACTCAGGGTTATAATTCCGATCAAGTTATCAACATGTAATATCCAAAGTATCATTTGCCAATATAAACCATAATAAATTTTACCCCTTTGAAATTTCAGTCAATTCAACCCTTTTTGGCCCCACCCATCAGCCCCGGGGGTCAGTCAGGGCTGATATGTGCATACCATCAAACTGCTTTCCAATACTGATAATGCTAACCCAAATTGAATTACTTCCAATGGAAATTAAACAAATGTTGTTCCAAAATGTGATTTCCCTATATAAACTATAGTAAAGTTTACCCCCTCCCCAGGGGAAAACATGAGACCCCAGGGTCATGAAATTCACAATTTTTGGTAAAGCACCTGAAGACCCTTCCATCTATGAAAAGTATTTGATTCTACCATATCTGGGTCTTGAGAAGAAGATTTTTTGAAATTTCAGTCAATTCGACCCTTGTTGGCCCCACCCATCAGCCCCTGGGGGCTGGGGACCATATAATTCACAATTTGTCTCAGGTGACCTAAAAATCTGATGTTGTTGTATTCTAAACTGCATATAGTTTTGTGGGTAGAAATGATTTGTTAAAAGATTGTAGCTCTACCAGTAATTATAATTAGGCCTAAAGTATAGTCTATAATAACCCCAAAAACATAAACATATATTGACCAAACATGTTGATACATTGTATATCAGAGTGTTACAAGTAACAATTAAAGAAAGAAAAGTAAAATCTAACTTTGCTTACTGTTGAAAGATAGACATTTTACCTGTATTCGAGAATTGCTATTGCTTTGCCTATAATTAAGCCCTACTCTGGTCTAACCTGGTAAAATAAATATTACCTGTATATAGCAAAACACCCAGGTATTTGCTATAGGGAAGACACTCATTACTTGACGCCCATTAGTATTTGATCTTATAGAAATTCACATGTGTACTAGCTGTGAAAGTCCTGAGGGTAATTGTTAATCCTCTTTGAACAGGGGCGAAGGCTATATCTCATTATACCACATTTGTAGGTAAGTATTTGCTTTAGTCAGCTGTTGAACCGAAATAAACTAGTGCCTGGTTTGCCACTGAAGCAAGGGAAAGACGACTGGAGGAAGATATATATGCATCAATTACAAGAGGCCCAGAGGGCCTGTATCGCTCACCTGGATATCTAAGCAATCATGGCAAAATATTCTCCAAATGAGATCCAAGGGAATATGCCAGACCCTAAGGCCAACCCTTGTAGCATATCTGTATTAGATTGTTCATGCCCAGCAATTTTATGTATGGTTATGGGGTGGGGATCTCAGCTGTGACTTAGAAACTAGGTCCCTAGGGTTGTGGCCAGACCCCAGGATCAATTCTAATTTCATGACTGCATTTGTCTCTTTTTGTAGTGTTGTACAAAAGTACAGTTTTGGGGTGGGGATCTCAACTGTTTCAAAGTTATGACCAAGGGGTTAAGTCTGCAAGGGTGGGGCAGACCTTGGGGTCAATTCTAATATCATGACTGCATTCGTCTCTTTATGCCCAACAATTGTTTATGTAGTTTTGGGCTGGGGATCTTAACCATTTCGAAGTTATGACCCAGGGGTTAAGTCCCTAAGGCCATCCTGGAAGCATATGTGCATTCATCTTTTTATACTCAGCAATTGTATATATGGTTATAGGGTGGGGATCTCAACCATTTCCAAGTAATACACTTTTTTTGGCCCCATCCCTTAGCCCGGGGGGTCAGCCCCACCATTTGTACAATTTTGAATCCCTGCCTCCCATGAATGCTTCCGACCAAATATCATCAATATCCATGGCATAGTTCTACAGAAGAAGTGGTATATAGCAATATAGCCAAATTGCCCCCTTTTGGCCCCGCCCTCAGCCCCCTGGGAGGTCAGCCCCACCATTTGTACAATCTTGAATCCCTGCCTCCCATGAATGCTTCCGACCAAATTTCATCAATATCCATGGCATAGTTCTACAGAAGAAGTGGTATATAGCAATATAGCCAAATTGCACCCTTTTGGCCCCGCCCTCTGCTCCCTGGGAGGTCAGCCCCACCCTTTGTACAATTTTGAATCTCCACCACCTAGGAATGCTTCCATTTAATATAGTTGATATCTATATCTTAGTTCCAGATCAGTGGTTAAGAAGTCGTTTAAAGAAATTGTTGACGGACGGACGACGGACGGTTAGGCATAAGCTCACCTTGGTCCTTCGTACCCGGTGAGCTAATAATACTGTATATGTCTCTGATCAGCCAAATCATTGATAGCTGTCGGTAGCAGTTAATAGATTGAACGTCACAGATGGATGTCATCAATAGGTTATACTATCACCATCATCCGTGACATTGGATCAGTGTTCAGTAGGTCAGGACAAGCATGCATGATCGGCAGACATAAAACCGCTGTCAAAGAGTCGATAGGAAAAGCCGACCAATATACTGAAGCCGATCAAGCTAAAAAATACAAACGCAATAAGACGATGAACAGCCACCAGCAGACACTGTTTGAATGAAGGACAGACCCTAACCAAACGGAGGCTGGACTTTTCCCAAATAGATATTTGATCGTAATTATAACTGTAGTTTAAAAAGTGGTCTCTTTATACAGGTGGTGTCTTTATACAGGTTTGAATTATTTAACATGTAATTATAATGGAGAGTTTTAAAAGTAGACACTAATTAACTGACATTTGGTCTTTTAACAGCTTCCTGAATTACCATATTTTTTATACTTCCAACTTCAAAGATGAAGATTTTCATTCAAACAAAAACATTTAACTCCAGCAAGCATTCAAATTTGACTTTTGCCCTAAACAAAATAGCTTAGAACAAGCCTACACAACTAATCTTCATAACTTTTAACCTTTATAAGGATAAAGGGTGTAGACCTTGTGGTTCTTGGAAAAATGTTGCTTAAGCTCTTAAATATATTTGACCCCAGTGACCTTGAAAGTAGGTAAGGATTATTTATATGAGGAAAGTTAGTATAGCACTCCGTCCCAGGTAACTACCAGCTTTCAGGACCATGGGTTTTTCAGTTCTCAAGAAGAAGCCTTTGACAGACAAAAGTTGAAGGACAGAAAACAAACACTGCTCTATACCTCAAGTTCAATTGTACTTTCTGCCTGGAAAATGTAGACATGCATAAAATATCAATTAAAAGTCAAAAAGGGTGAGGAAATATTTTTAGCCTGTGACTGTGTTGTGATAAACTTACAAATTCTGTCACTTCAGTTTCGTCTCCTCCTCGTAGGAGTCTGTCATCAGCTGATGAAGATGAAGATGGACCAGGTTTAGTATCTCCACTAGGGGCCGACATCCTCAGGGAAGAAGTCTGGTGTATTGGTTTGACAGAGAGAGCTGCTTTTGTTAGTGACGTAAACACAGGCTCGGAATCACCAACATTTCTCGGTGTTGTACTGCCATAGGAAAACAAAGAAATGTCCAAATTATTGTCAGATAAGCTGGTTTTGAAACTTTGAGAATGATTATTTGAGGTAATTATTCTTGTATTCTCTTCATTAACATCCTTTGTTAAAAGTTCAAGGTGCTCGCTTTGTGATGAGAAATCATCCTCTATATTTTGATCGGGTGAATTCCAATTCACGGTTTCCTCCGACCCTTGACAGCGAAAACCTGGAGTCAATGAATCCTGTGAACTTAATATCAACGTTCCTTGTGAACTTTGACCTTGAGAGCCCACTGTCAATGTGTCCTGTGAACTTTGACCCTGTGACCCCACTGTCAATGTGTCCTGTGAACTTTGACATTGTGACCCCTCCGTCAATGTGTCCTGTGAACTTTGACCATGTGACCCCACTGTCATTGTGTCCTGTGAACTTTGACCTTGTGAACCTGATGTTGATGTATCCTTGGATGAGCTTATACCTGATTCACAGTCAGTGGGCTTGTCTGCTCGTGACCCTGCCCACACCTCCTCAGACAGGACAATTACGGTGTCATCCTCCAAAGTGACCTTGGTCTGAGTGGGGTCAAGGTCACTGTCCGATGGTGACGAGATATTCCTAGTGACAAAGGTATCAAGTTTTCTCTCTGTCACAGAAAAATATGAATACATTAAACAAAAATTACAGGCAAGTGTATACTTCAATATTGGCACTGGATCTGTACGAAAGTTTGCTGGAAGAATATTACTTTAATATGTTTGTAAGCAAAGTCAGTGCAGACCAAGGAATTTCTCCAGTTTTCAGGGCAATCAACCACTTTCTCACAAGACACAAACTCTCCCTTGCTATGTTGCAGGGGTGTAATGATTTTTAGCCCTATGGAAAACAGGTTATAGTTCCAATTCACTGACATATAACCACACCTGTTGTTTGACCTCGGTTACAGAGTTCCTATATCACCTGTACACCTACGTTTAGACACTTGTTCCTTACTAGGCGAGTCATCAGGTGTAGAAAACACACTGGCGTAAGTTCTCTTCAGCCGACTCAGAGAACTGAAGCACTGTAAAAAGCAGAAACAAATATGATCTTTGAAAATATAGGAATTATTGCAAAGTATTTCAAGGAGGATTAAATTTTTCATAGATATATGATCTTCGAAAAGTGAAAGGACTTGGGGCGTTATGGGTCATTTTTGGCTTCATAAAAAGTGAAAATTCAAACTTGGATATATTTACCATTTTCTATTATAAATATCCTATCGGTTAATTGGGGCTATCTTTCTAGGTGGAGACTTTTACTAACGTGTACGAGTAGACACCCTACCATAGCAACAAAATTGCGTTGCTATGCATAAATAGCCAGAATATGGTGTTTTTGGACTGTTAGCATGCAGAAATGAAGGTCTCTGCATATGACAAACAAAAATTCTTTTCAACGAATGAACACTGGTCTGACAATGTTTAAGCATGTCAAATATCTATGTTTGGTGCATGTGCAGACTTTCAAAAATTTAAAAGTGTTTTGTTAATTTTAAAATGGCAAATTTTCAACCAAATTGAACAATATTCACGCATTTTATTATGAAAATGCTGGTTTTTGTCTCTCTTTGTAATGCCATATATCCTAAACCAGTTGTCAAATTAACTTGAACCTTTTATATTTGTGTAGTTCACTTATTCCAAATTACGTTTATAACATAACTAATTCTAAATCCCCGATGAGGCTGGAAATGAGTCATAACGCCCCTAGTCCTATACAGCAACAAATACTTCCTAGGTAGAAAACAGATCTCCTCAGCAAACTACCAGAACAGAAAAGTTGGCAAGAAAAGTAATACAAACTTTCAAAATTTTTATATCGTCTATTGTCATGTCTGTAAATTTACAGAAACAAAACTAAGGAGACATTTTGAATTATCCAATCACATGAACTCACAAATATTTGATTGATTATAATTTAAAACTGTTTGTACGTCAACAAAATATCTTTTATTAACCACTGTATACTGGGAAATGAATCGCCGTCAAATTTTTGCTCTTCGGCTTCGGCTGTAAAGTCAACTTTCACCCAACACTAAATTCGCCCTCCACATTTAATTACTATGTATATTATGCTGTTTACTAATGTTAGGTGTAATGATGAAATAGCCCTCAATACCAAGGGCAATAAGGGCGAAAATTAAACTGCAGCGAATATTTCCCGTATACCGTAACGCCCGATACCTACCATATCAGAACTTGCTGAAACCTGTCCTTCTGTCGTTCTGTAGGTAAAAGAAAAGTTCTCATTCAATGATTATCAGTGTTCAGGTTTTAAACACAAATTACCTAAAAGACCAGTTACTTTTAATTTTTCATTTGAAGTGAACCCCGGAGAAAACTTTTCAAAGGAAATTGAGAAATATATTGAATAATTATTATTAAATGTAATTTATCTTCTTAATTAACGCGTTTAGTCAATTATCTCTCCTTGCTCTAATCAAGTCTTATGGTCGAAGCCTTTTTACCGTTTTAACTAATTGACGGGTCAGCAAGGCTTTTGCCATGTACCTTATCATTCCCCATGGTCTATTTTCAATAAATGTGACCTTGACCTTAGAAATCTTTTAAAGTAAACATCCATGTTACAGTGAATGTCTACCACAAGACAGTAAACACTTATGTTACAGTGAATGTCTACCACAAGACAGTAAACATCAATGTTACAGTGAATGTCTACCACAATACAGTAAACATTCATGTTACAGTGAATGTCTACCACAATACAGTAAACATTCATGTTACAGTGAATGTCTACCACAATACAGTAAACATTCATGTTACAGTGAATGTCTACCACAATACAGTAAACATTCATGTTACAGTGAATGTCTACTACAATACAGTAAACATTCATGTTACAGTGAATGTCTACCACAATACAGTAAACATCAATGATACAGTGAATGTCTACTAAAATACAGTAAAACAGTAAACATTCATGTTACAGTGAATGTCTACCACAATACAGTAAACATCAATGTTACAGAGAATGTCTACCACAATACAGAAAACATTCATGTTACAGTGAATGCCTACCACAAGACAGTAAACATCAATGTTTCAGTGAATGTCCACCACAATACAGTAAACATTCATGTTCCAGTGAATGTCTACCACAATACAGAAAACATTCATGTTACAGTGACTGTCTACCACAATACAGTAACCATTCATGTTACAGTGAATTTCTACCACAATACAGTAAACACCCATGTTACAGTGAATGTCTCCCACAATACAGTAAACATTCATGTTACAGTGACTGTCTACCACAATACAGTAACCATTCATGTTACAGTGAATGACTACCACAATACAGTAAACCTTCATGTTACAGTGAATGTCTACCACAATACAGTAAATATCAATGATACAGTGAATGTCTACTACAATACAGTAAACATTCATGTTACAGTGAATGTCTACCACAATACAGGAAACATAAATGATACAGTGAATGTCTACTACAATTCAGTAAACATTCATGTTACAGTGAGTGTCTACCACAATACAGTAAACCTTCATGTTACAGTGAATGTCTACCACAAGACAGTAATCATCAATGTTACAGTGAATGTCTACCACAAGTCAGTAAACATCAATGTTACAGAGAATGTCTACTACAATACAGTAAACATTCATGTTACAGTGACTGTCTACCACAATACAGTAAACATCGATGTTACAGTGAATGTCTACCACAATACAGTAAACATCAATGTTAATATAGATAACGAGTCTCAGTAAAACTGAGTAATGTACTAGAAATACTGACACTTTTTCTGTGGGCCTGTCTGAAGTTGATACACACTCACCTGTTCAGGTAATTCCTTGCCTGCCAGACTTTCGTTGAACTCTCTACAATTTAACAAGTAGATTTTAACATAAAAAAGAGGCCCAGAGGGCCTGTATAGCTCACCTGTTTCTTTTGTTACATGAAACTGACATATAGGTAACTTCAAACCAAGTTTGGTGACTATTACAACCAGACATTTTAACAACTCTTAAATGCTTCTAAAGATATTGTTGTTTGAAATCTCCCATTTTGATTTTAAAGCTTTTAACCCTAGTTGACCTTTGACTACGGCTACCACTTAAAGTTGACATTTGACCTCATTACTGTAATTAAGAAAAAGATTCACAGCTGGTCTTCATAACATACCAAGGTACATGTATCATGACTAGACCAAATGCTTCTTATGATATCGTTGTTTGAAGTTTTTAACATGTTTGACTCCTGTGACCTTGAAAATAGGTCAAGGTCATTTTAAAGAGGAAACTTTATAGCGCTCTATCCCCAGTACCTACTGGCCAAATATCATGACCTTTGGGCCTTATGGAACTTGAGAAAGAGATTGTTAAATCTTTTAACCCATGTTGATGTTTGACCTCCCCTAGTGCTTAAAGTTGACCTTTGACCTCATGACTGTAATTAAGAATAAGATTTGCACTGCTAGTCTAAATAACATACTCAAGTATCATGACTCTAGTCTAAATGGTTCTTTGGATATTCTTGTTTGAGGTTATTAACATATTTGACCCCTGTGTCTTTGAAAGTAGGTCAAGGTCATTTTAAAGAGGAAACTTTATAGCACTCCATTCCAGGTACCTACTGAACAAATATCATGACCCTAAGTCCTCCAGTTCTTCAGAAGAAGTCTTTCAAAAGAAAAAGTTGATGGACAGACGACAGACGGACGACGGACGACGGACGACGCAGTACGGCATAAGCTCACCTGGCCCTTCGGGCTAAGCGCTTGCCAACAGTTACTTGCACCAATTTGAAAATCCTGGGATTATTCTGGTGTTGCAATGTGGATATTGAACGCCTATCTGTGGTTTCTGAAATAAATTTTGATGACTGGAATGAGAAAAAAATACTCTTTCCTGCCCAGGGTTGAAAGACCGGGAATTCCATCCCAGAATGTTTTATACCCAAATATCCTGATTTTGTGACGTCACCTCATTGCTGTCCCATTGCGATGTCACACACCTGAAGTGTGGTGTCAGATAGAAATTTTTTACAGCCCTTTCTTACCCTGGACACTTCTGTCATATACACACAGTAATAAAACGAGGAGAGGAATATTGCTGTTGTACTCCTCCAGCTCCTCAAGATATATCACCTACTAATTTAGATAACTGTTTGAGTTTTAGTGTTAGAGTAACGCATCTAAATGTCTAACCAAATGTTTCACCGACTTAGACAGAAAAGGCAAACACTTGATGTCCCTACAAAACAAAATTGATGATTTGACATCCCCAACTGTCAGCGTACCTGTACTGAGACTAGTCGTGACATCCCCACAAGTCAGCGTACCTGTACTAAGACTCGTGGTGACATTCCCACCCGTCAGCGTACCTGTACTGAGACTCGTGGTGACATCCCCACCCGTCAGCGTACCTGTAGTGAGACTGGTCGTGACATCCCCACCTGTCAGTGTACCTGTACTGAGACTGGTCGTGACATCCCCACTCGTCAGTGTATCTATACTGAGACTGGTCGTGACATCCCCACTCGTCAGTGTATCTATACTGAGACTAGTCGTGACATCCTCACCTGTCAGCGTACCTGTACTGAGACTGGTCGTGACATCCGCACCTGTCAGCGTACCTGTAGTGAGACTGGGTGAGACATCCCCACCTGTCAGCGTACCTGTACTGAGACTGGTCGTGACATCCGCACCTGTCAGCGTCCCTGTACTGAGACTGGTCGTGACATCCGCACCTGTCAGCGAACCTGTAGTGAGACTGGGTGAGACATCCCCCCCTGTCAGCGTACCTGTACTGAGACTGGTCGAGACATCCCCACCCGTCAGCGTACCTGTACTGAGACTGGTCGTGACATCCGCCCCTGTCAGCGTACCTGTAGTGAGACTGGTCGTGACATCCCCACTCGTCAGCGTATCTATACTGAGACTGGTCGTGACATCCCCACTCGTCAGTGTACCTGTACTGAGACTGGTCGTGACATCCCCACCCGTCAGCGTACCTGTAGTGAGACTGGTCGTGACATCCCCACTCGTCAGTGTACCTGTACTGAGACTAGTCGTGACATCCTCACCTGTCAGCGTAGCTGTACTGAGACTGGTCGTGACATCCGCACCTGTCAGCGTCCCTGTACTGAGACTGGTCGTGACATCCGCCCCTGTCAGCGTACCTGTAGTGAGACTGGTCGTGACATCCCCACCTGTCAGTGGACCTGTACTGAGACTGGGCGAGACATCCCCATCCTTTAGTGTACCTGTACTGAGACTCGTAGTGACAACCCCACCTGTCAGTGTACCTGTACTGAGACTGGGCGAGACATCCCCATCCTTTAGTGTACCTGTACTGAGACTCGTAGTGACATCCCCACCTGTCACCATACCTGTACTGAGACTCGTAGTGACATCCCCACCTGTCAGCGTAACTGTACTGAGACTGGTCGTGACATCCGCACCCGTCAGTGTACCTGTACTGAGACTGGTCGTGACATCCCCACCTGTCAGTGTACCTGTACTGAGACTCGTAGTGACATCCCCACCTGTCAGTGTACCTGTACTGAGACTAGTCGTGACATCCCCACCTGTCAGTGTACCTGTACTGAGACTGGTAGTGACATCCCCACCTGTCAGTGTACCTGTACTGAGACTCGTCGTGACATCCCCACCTGTCAGTGTACCTGTACTGAGACTGGACGTGACATCCCCACCTGTCAGTGTACCTGTACTGAGACTAGTCGTGACATCCCCACCTGTCAGCGTACCTGTACTGAGACTAGTCGTGACATCCCCACCTGTCACCATACCTGTACTGAGACTGGTCGTGACATCCCCACCAGTCAGAGTATCTATACTGAGACTGGTCGTGACATCCCCACCTGTCACCATACCTGTACTGAGACTGGGCGAGACATCCCCACCTGTCACCATACCTGTACTGAGACTGGTCGTGACATCCCCACCTGTCACCATACCTGTACTGAGACTCGTCGTGACATCCCCCCCCGTCAGTGTACCTGTACTGAGACTGGGCGAGACCTCCCCACCTGTCAGTGTACCTGTACTGAGACTGGGCGAGACATCCCCACCTGTCAGTGTACCTGTACTGAGACTGGTCATGACATCCCAACCTGTCACCATACCTGTACTGAGACTCGTAGTGACATCCCCACCTGTCACCATACCTGTACTGAGACTGGGCGAGCCCTCCCCACCTGTCAGTGTACCTGTACTCAGACTGGTCATGACATCCCAACCCATCAGTGTACCTGTACTGAGACTGGGCGAGACAACCCCACCCGTAAGTGTACCTGTACTGAGACTGGGCTAGACATCCCCACCCATCAGTGTACCTGTACTGAGACTGGCCGAGACATCCCCACCTGTCAGTGTCCCTGTACTGAGACTGGGCGAGACATCCCCACCCCTCAGTGTACCTGTACTGAGACTGGTCGGGACATCCCCACCCGTCAGTGTACCTGTACTGGGACTGGGCGAGACATCCCCACCTGTCAGTGTCCCTGTACTGAGACTGGGCGAGACGTCCCCACCTGTCAGTGTAGCTGTACTGAGACTGGTCATGACATCCCCACCTGTCACCATACCTGTACTAAGACTCGTCGTGACATCCCCACCCGTCACTGTACCTGTACTGAGACTGGTCATCACATCCCAACCTGTCACCATACCTGTAGTGAGACTCGTAGTGACATCCCCACCCGTCACCATACCTGTACTGAGACTGGGCGAGCCATCCCCACCTGTCAGTGTACCTGAACTGAGACTGGTCGAGACATCCCCACCCGTCAGTGTAGCTGTACTGAGACTGGTCATGACATCCGTCGTGACATCCCCACAAGTCAGTGTACCTGTACTGAGACTGGGCGAGACATCCCCATCCTTCAGTGTACCTGTACTGAGACTGGTCGTGACATCCCCATCCTTCAGTGTACCTGTACTGAGACTCATCGGAACTGGTTTGAACTGCAGCACACCTACTGTCTGCTGATACAGAGTAAGCAGGGATGTCTGAAATATATAGAACATGATTATTAAACCCTACAAACCTAAATTTGTTGATAGAACATTCTAGTAAATATCTGTATGATAATTTTGGTTCTTCTTAAATCTTCAATATACATTATGTACATAAATGCTAGATATATATATAGAAAAAAAATATATATATTCTAAATCCATAATGAAACACATTTTATCAAGGGTTTTTTAAATCAATCTTGTTGAAAGCAATCAAGGGGTCTTAATATGGGAGGAAACCTGAGTTCCCGGAGAAAACCCATGTGATCAGGCAGGTGACCCCATACATTTTCACATTCGTTCATGGATTCAAACCCCGCCCCTCTTGGTGAAAGCCAAGAACACTATCCAGTGTCACCATCGACTTTCACTTGCTTTATTTTCAATGTACTATACGATACCGCTACCTTAACAGTTGCTAACAGGAGTTTCTCCCCCTGCATGAAGATCTGTCTCTTGTCTGGGGTAACGTTGACATCGACGGTGTCCCTCGCCATGGTAACGTTCAGGGCCACAAAGGGATACTGGTGTCTGTTGTACTGGTGGTACACCTCGTTTATCACTTTGGACAACTGTAAACAAGTAAACATCAGGTCAGAAAGTCACAAGGAGGGATCATGGCCATGCTCACAACCAAGTACACCAGTTTATTACTTTGGACAACTGTAAACAAGTAAACATCAGGTCAGAAAGTCACAAGTAGGGGTCATGGCCTTGCTCACAACCAATTACACCAGTTTATTACTTTAGACAACTGTAAACAAGTAAACATCAGGTCAGAAGGTCACAAGGAGGGGTCATGGCCATGCTCACAACCAATTACATCAGTTATGGGTTAAGGTCAATTTTAAATAAATACTGCTTATTTGCTCACAAATTCATTTCAAATATTGCCTTTGGTAAGGGGCCATTATCACAATTCCTTATTGGTTTTTAGGACACTGCCCCTCGATATCACATAATGTTAATGTACAAAGGACATGAAAAACGGTGAACTTGTTACAGACAAATCACAGGCAAAGAAGTCAAATCATGATTAGTATAATAATATATTACATTCACTGATGAAAAGAGTCAAAACAACAGTCAGTCTTGGTATTTAGACAAGAATTCCACGAAAGTGGATGTGTCGCCTGCGCAGGAAGCTGGGAGATTACGAAGAAATAGATACACTTTTCATTTCAAGAAATAATGTTAAAAGTAAGCAATAATCATAGATTATGTTTTTGAATGGCATCATTTTGTTATATAATCTGTTATTCTGGGAAGAATACTCTGGGTTTTAAGGAACTTGCTATCTATTTATAGTAACAGTGACCTTGACCTTCGGACCTGAAAAGCAATCCCAAGCAAGCACTTTTGGTAAGGTAGCATGCATGAAGTTTGAGTTTGATCGGCCCAAGGAAACTCAAGTTATCGCACGAAAACCTCTGTGCAGACGACGCCGACCACGCCGATACCGACATAGCAATACCTATGTGTCACCAGCTTTTCGCAGGCGACACAAAAAGGAGTGAGTTGGATGATAAGAACCTCACAAGACCACAACAAATTCTTCAGTAACTTTGTTAAACTGCCATCATTTGTTCAGTGATATTTTAGCGTAGAAACAAGTTTGTCAATATATCAAGGGAAGATGTGTACAGGAATCGAAAGGAAGCAAAGAAAAGGTTACCTTAAATCATGTGGGCAGTACATGAGGTGGTCATTTAAATCAGGGGAATTACATGTAGGTTTTACTGTACGTTTCATTAAGCTTAAGTAATATCCTGTTGTTTATAAATAGAACAGTGATATATATTGTCTACCATCCACCCCAATCATTGCTAAAATACCTAAACCATGTGATGTGAAACAGATGAAGTTTTTACTTGGCCTGATAAACTGGTACCTTGGTTGAATCACATGGACGTTTGTTGATGAAGAAGTACTGTCGGTCAGCACTGCTACGACCTTGGCCATGGACACATTTAGAAACGTAGCCTTCCAGCCTGAAAAAATAAGTGTAATTACATTTAGAAAGTCAGTCAATACTACAGTTGTCAACCTGTAAATAGTATGACAAGTAAGTCCTGTATGACCAGTAAGCCCTGTATAAATAGTAAGTCCTGTATGACACTAGTAAGTCCTGGATGACTATTAAGTCCTGTATGACAATGCATGAAGTTTGAGTTTGATCGTCATGTATGAAAAGCAAGTCCTGTATGACCAGGAAGTCATGTATGAGAAGTCCTGTATGACCAGTAAGTCATGAATGACAAGTCCTGTATGACCAGTCAGTCATGTATGACAAGTCCTGAATGACCAGTAAGTCATGTATGACAAGTCCTGTATGACCAGTAAGTTCTGTATGAAAAGCAAGTCCTGTATGACTAGTAAGTCCTGTATGACAAGTAAGTCCTGTATGACAAGTTAGCCCTGTATGACTAGAAAGTCATGTATGACAAGTAAGTCATGTATGACAGGTAAGTCCTGTATGACTAGTAAGTCCTATATGACCAGTAAGTCCTGTATGACAGGTAAGTCCTGTATGACAAGTAAGTCCTGTATGACAAGTAAGTCATGTATGAAAAGCAAGTCCTGTATGACTAGTAAGTCATGTATGACAAGTCCTGTATGACCAGTAAGTCATGTATGACAAGTCCTGTATGACCAGTAAGTCCTGTATGAAAAGCAAGTCCTGTATGACTAGTAAGTCCTGTATGACAGGTAAGTCCTGTATGACAGGTGAGTCCTGTATGACAAGTAAGTCCTGTATGACAGGTAAGTCCTGTATGACAGGTAAGTCATGTATGAAAAGCAAGTCCTGTATGACTAGTAAGTCCTGTATGACAAGTAAGTCCTGTATGACAAGTTAGCCCTGTATGACTAGAAAGTCATGTATGACAAGTAAGTCATGTATGACAGGTAAGTCCTGTATGACTAGTAAGTCCTATATGACCAGTAAGTCCTGTATGACAGGTAAGTCCTGTATGACAAGTAAGTCATGTATGAAAAGCAAGTCCTGTATGACTAGTAAGTCATGTATGACAAGTCCTGTATGACCAGTAAGTCATGTATGACAAGTCCTGTATGACCAGTAAGTCCTGTATGAAAAGCAAGTCCTGTATGACTAGTAAGTCCTGTATGACAAGTAAGTCCTGTATGACAGGTAAGTCCTGTATGACAAGTCATGTATGACAGGTAAGCCCTGTATGACAAGTAAGTCCTGTATGATCAGTAAGTCCTGTATGACCAGTAAGTCCTGTATGATCAGTAAGCCCTGTATGACTAGTAAGTCCTGTATGACCAGTAAGCCCTGTATGACAAGTAAGTCCTGTATGAAAAGCAAGTCATGTATGACTAGTAAGTCATGTATGACAGGTAAGTCCTGTATGACTAGTAAGTCATGTATGACAGGTAAGTCCTGTATGACAAGTAAGTCATGTATGACAAGTCCTGTATGACAGGTAAGTCCTGTATGACTAGTAAGTCCTGTATGACAAGTAAGTCCTGTATGACCAGTAAGTCCTGTATGACAAGTAAGCCCTGTATGACCAGTAAGTCCTGTATGACAAGTAAGTCCTGTATGACCAGTAAGCCCTGTATGACAAGTAAGTCCTGTTCTTCCTTTAAAACTATGCATGTTGTTAGCTTTATTAACTGGGCAAAGATGTCAAACACTTCATTTCATAGATATTAGAAATGTCTGTTTTGAGAATTCACAAGTGACTATTGTGTTTGGAGATTTGGTGAAACAATCAAAGCCTGGTAACCATTTAGGGCCTTTGATTCTGAAAGCCAGATGATTCTCGGCTTTGTGTAATTACAACAGACGGACACAAACATTACACAAAAAGGTGAAACAACTTTTTGTAAGTACTGATGTGCAACATAAACCTGTGACAAAACAAACAACAGCTAACCGGCTACAACTGGAGCTACTACTGGTGTTAACAATGTCTGGAGTCCATGTTTGAGTGTTACGACTGGTGTTAACAAGGTNATGTTTGAGTGTTACGACTGGGGTTAACAAGGTCTGGAGTCAATGTTTGAGTGTTACGACTGGGGTTAACAAGGTCTGGAGTCCATGTTTGAGTGTTACGACTGGTGTTAATGAGGTCTGGAGTCAATGTTTCAGTGTTACGACTGGGGTTAACAAGGGCTGGAGTCAATGTTTGAGTGTTACTACTGGGGTTAACATGGAGTCAATGTTTGAGTGTTACAACTGGGGTTAACAAGGTCTGGAGTCGATGTTTCAATGTTACGACTGGGGTTAACAAGGGCTTGAGTTAATGGTTGAGTGTTATGACTGGTGTTAACAAGGTCTGGAGACAATGTTTGAGTGTTACTACTGGGGTTTGCAAGGTCTGGAGTCGATGTTTCAGTGTATGTTGGGGTTTACACGGTCTGGAGTCGATGTTTCAGTGCTACTACTGGTGATAACAAGGTCTGGAGTCAATGTTTGAGTGTTATGACTGGTGTTAACAAGGTCTGGAGCCAATGTTTGAGTGTTACTACTGGGGTTAACAAGGTCTGGAGTCGATGTTTCAATGTTACGACTGGGGTTTACAAGGTCTGGAGTAGATGTTTCAGTGTATGTTGGGGTTTACACGGTCTGGAGTCGATGTTTCAGTGCTACTACTGGTGATAACAAGGTCTGGAGTCAATGTTTGAGAGTTACGACTGGGGTTAACAAGGTCTTGAGTCAATGTTTGAGTGTTACGACTGGGTTTAACAAGGTCTGGAGTTGATGTTTCAGTGTTACGACTGGGGTTAACAAGGTCTTGAGTCAATGTTTGAGTGTTACGAATGGGGTTTACAGGGTCTGGAGTCGATGTTTCAGTGTTACGACTGAGGTTTACAAGGTCTGGAGTCGATGTTTAAGTGCTACTACTGGTGTTAACAAGGGCTGGAGTCAATGTTTGAGTGTTATGACTGCTGTTAACAAGGTCTGGAGTCAATGTGTGAGTGTTACTACTGGGGTTTACAAGGTCTGGAGTCGATGTTTCAGTGTATGTTGGGGTTTACAAGGTCTGGAGTCGATGTTTCAGTGTTACGACTGGTGTTAACAAGGTCTGGAGTCAATGTTTGAGTGTTACGACTGGTGTTAACAAGGTCTGGAGTCGATGTTTCAGTGTATGTTGGGGTTTACAAGGTCCGGAGTCAATGTTTCAGTGTTACGACTGGGGTTTACAAGGTCTGGA